CAATCGACTAAGTCGCTATTGTAATCATAAGCGACTCATTCTGTTACATGTTATAGGATAATTTGTTGGTTCTATGTTGAGTCTATTGAATAAGTCAATCTTATTCAGTTTTGTTACATGCTAGAAAATTTGTTGCGAGAAGGTGTTTAATATCTTACTTCATATAAAAATTCTACATCTAGAGATAAATATTATGAAAGACAATTTTTTTTTACTGGAAAAATCATGAGGCTTGCCTCAACTATAATAATCTATCATATATTAGAAGATATATGAATTCTCTCTTCCTTATAATTATAGAAGATGAGATTATATACATTTGAGTACCATTATCTAATTCCCATTAGGGATTACAAAAATTAGTTATCCATAAGTGAATAGTTAGAACTTAACGACATAGTTGTATGTTAATAGGTAAACGATGATAATCGAATGATGTAATGATTGCTAAAGGTAGTCATCCATGGCGATCATTGAAAACCGCAATATAGTTTTGTAGCTCTCTCCAGTCTTAAACCTTCTATTTATATAGAGAATGAGGTGCAATTTATACCCTGTTTTTAGAGAAACAATTTGACCTAAATCTAAAACACTTTATTACATGGTCTATATTAATCCCTTTGATCGTAGAATAACAATCAAATATTTAAATGCCTTGATGATGCCATAATCAAATGATCTTAAACTAGTTTGGTTTTTCTCGTCGAGCTGCTCAATTTGATTATAAACATGCAATATGTCCAAACTGTTTGGACCCTTAATTAATGCTTAGAAGTTTTTAAATATGTTCCATGTACTTGATTGAATCTCATTTTGAGTCAGATCAAATCACTTGTGAGGTCTATGGGTTTGTCTAATCGAGAAGTTTAGCTCGACAATAATTTTGTTAAAATCAAAGTTCAGTTGGTCTTGAAGTTAATTATAAAGGTTTTCAATTCAAACATTGCCTCCTAATTCTTGTCGAGCTAGCAAAGTTTTAATTTTATTTTATGTGATCATATATGTCATACTCATCAATTAAAATTTGAATTATTATTGACTCACAATTTCATTAAAAAACTATTATTGAAAAAATTAAATTAATTTTGAAATTATTATTAAAAAATAAAAAATTAAAAAACTATTATAGATGTTATAGACTTTTTTATCTTGAATAATATCATATAATAATTTTTTTATAACTATCACGTTTTAATAAATTTGAACATAAGAAACTCTTAATATAAAAATTTATAAAAATACTAAGAAAATATAATCAAATAAAAATATAATAGTAATTTATTAAAAAAAAATATAGTCGGATCGTGTCAAAAATTGACGCTCCTATCCATTACTCTTTTTTTCTTCTTGGAGGCATAACGGTTGGTTCATAGTTGACATGAAGAACTACAAAGCCAACAGATGCGTAAAAAGCCTCCAATTAGGCGCATAAGCAAACTTCCAAGAAGAACATGCTCTTAGGAATCATTGATCGAGACTTATAAAAATAATAATAATAATAATAATAATAAATAAATAAATAAATATACATAAATGCGAGTTTTTAACTTTACTGTGAGCTTTGAAATTTGCTTTTTTCTTATTATTTCCTTTCTAGAGTTGACCTACTCTTTCTTGTCGTATTACTTTTTGTGAAACTTTATTCTCTTGATTGTTCCGTACAAGTGATCGTTGTAGCAATATAAAAGAAGCTAATTCCCCAAAAATATATATATATATATATAAAAGAAGCCATTTAATGCCTTAATTTTAAAAAAATTATTCTGTGCATATGCCACATTATTTGGAGATTAATCAGAATATAACACATCTCGGTACCGCTGACATGACTGCACCTGATTCGTCTTCGTCTCAGGACGCAAAGCTGCATCCGGCGTCCGCACAAAATAAATTCTTCTTAATTTTAGATGAGAGCGCTCACATAATATAAGGTAGATAGAACATCATAACTTTTTTTAAAAGATCTCTAAAAGAAAAAAAATTAAGGGATTTGAGCCAATCAATAAAATTTTATTATTTTAAATTTAAATTTATGATTGATCATTAATTTTTGAAATTGGAGGTATTTAAATACCTTGGGGTGGGCTTCCAAAGCATTAGTGTGGATGATAATGGAGAATGCAAAAAATTTTGTGAAAGTAGGGCTATAATTATTTTACCTATAATCAAGGGCGGATCCTGCTCCTTTTTTCAGGGTGACCAAAATTTTAATTAATTAATAATAATAATAATAATAATAATATATTACTAATTATTATTATTATAAATTATCATAGATTGATAAAAAAGGACTCCACAGAAAATCATAAACAAAAGACATCTCAACACACCACATAACAACACAACAATAACATCAAGTCTTTCTCCCACTATATAAGGTCAGCTAAAATGAATCATTTTTCTCTATTGTTTCCCACTAAGAATTAAAATTCTCATTTAAATCAACTAAACAAAGGTCATTTGTAATCTCAACACACTACACTAAGGGGGTTTAATTCAAGAAAGATTTAGACTTAATTTGGGATGACTTTTTTGTTGCTTCTTAAAGAAGCTTCTTAGTACAAAAATTAAAATTTTTATACTGAAGAGCTACTTTAATAAGAAGCAACAAAAAAGCCGTCCCAAACAAAGCCTTAGTGAATCTTGTAAATCCATGTATGATAAATTTTGAAAGGATTAAAGTCTGAAAATTGTTTGGCATGACAATTATTAATCTGTTTGATTGTTTGTTTCAAATTTTAATATTTGTTAGAGGAGAAATCCTTTAATTTGCAAATGTTGGGATTTAAGAAATCATAAATTTAACCAATAAGGAGGCTAAAACAGGATTTCTAAAAAATAATAGGATTTGAAAAACACACTTTTTTTATATAGGATTTTAGCTAAATATTGCTTAATTCCTTCCTAAAATATGATGTCGAACAACCCCTTCAATATACAAGTTAATATTAACTTCAGATATAGCTATTTTGAAAATTATCAAAGAAAATTCATGAGAGATGTGAAAGTATTCATGGCCCAGCAATATTCCATGTGATTTCAAATTGCTTCTCCCCCTCGGTTCCCTCTGCTAGGGTTTTTTCCCTGGGTCGTGCCGGGGTTCTCCCCTGCCCCACTGGGTCCTTCGCACCGGTGCTCTCGTGGATTTCAGGGAAGATGTATTCTTCTCTTTGTTTTCTACTTATTTTGGTGATTTCTTGATTTTTCGGTCTTTCTCCAACAATTGCCGGTATGAAAGCGATTTTTTTGTACAAAAATTAAAAATTTTGAACTAAAAAGCTAGTTTAAGAAGCATTAAAAGAGCAGTCCTAAACGAAGCCTAAGTCTCACAAAAGCGAACAATAATCAGCATTAATTTCATAATTTCTTATCTTGATCGCATATATATATTTCAAAGAATAGTCAAAATGATGAACTTTAGTGTAAACTTATTGTATATGATATAAGTTTGTAATTAATAACTTTATTTATAAATACTATGTTAGAAAAGCTTATATATATATATATATATAGCTGCACTCCTCATCAGAACTATTTAAATCTAAAATATATGTATATATACAATACGCTCTCCAATTCATTTAACAAATCATATTTGTCCCACGATTTCAAAATAAACTATCTACAACAATAAAAGAGAATATCTAACAACAAAATCATGATCTTACTCCACTAGGGCCTATTCTTCAATGAAATATATAAATACAAAGAATGGTGAGCAAACAATATAGTAAATTACATGAAGCCTACAATTACATTCGATATATGAAAATAAAACTATAGGTCGGTAATAATGTCATATCATGTTATATAAGTAATAATAGTCGGTGGAATGGTACATGAGAGTGGTCATCCCAAGCCCCTCATCACTCTTAGTCATATCATATTTCCTTAGTATTTCCCATCCAACATTGGGTTAACACAACCAATCTATATTTAAAGAAAACGATCGATACAACCCACTCTCCTATGTTGGGTATCATATCTTCACCATATTGAATCATGTAGTAGCTAGGCTTTCTAGCATACACACATTTCACATGATTATAACATAGTAAATATTTGATATCATACTTAGTATTCAGCTCATTGTATCATTCGCAATACATATAAATTGTACACATAATCAACTCAAAAACATTATTCTAACCTTACTTTTATAGATTAATTATAAAAATTGAAATCTAAAGATGATAGTATTTATCATTATTCCTTGTAAAACTAATTTTTTAAGGCAAACCAAGCATTGTCATGATCACCAAATCATTACAAACCCCACTCACTAAAATTTCAAAGTACACAATTTCTAATTATTTTCATCATCATATGTGGTCGAAATCAAGCTATCCTTTATAATTTTAGGTTTGTTTGGTAAGAGATGTTTTTTAACTCAAGTAGGATTTAGTAAATTTTATAATTATGAAATTAGTAATTTGTGAGTTAGTTTGATCCTTAAAACTAACTATTAATGAATTGTTTGGCTATTTAGTTAGGATTTAAGTATATTAACTAAAATAAGATTTTAATAATGATTATTGATAATTAAAAATATATAAATTCATTACATGTTATTGTAATTAGCTTAAATAATATTAAAAAAAATTATTAATTAGTAAATTATTAAATTAATTTAATATAGTAACTTCTACGTAATCAATAACAGTAATTACAACAACATCAAGCTTTTATCTCACAAAGTGGAATGAGCTACATTAGTCATTTTTATTCATTGTTATGTTAAGAATTAAATTTTTATTTAAATATGTAACTTTTATATAGTCGTTAAATATTAAATAATATCAATATTTGATTAATAGTTATAATTAATTAATTTTAATTATTAAGATTAATTGAATTAATGACTAATTTATATTAAAAAATATTTATTACTCAAATAACAACATAGTTAAAAATTTAAAATGGTTAAAAAATAAAAAACATAGTTAAAATGGTTTTGTAAAATAATCCAATTCCTAACCCTAAATCAACTGTTAGAGGCAATGCACAGTGATCCGTACTGATCAACTATCGGATCCCAAGGCACCGTAATGGAAGCCCCGTTAGTTGTTTCTTCACCTCCTTCAACTCCTCCGTCGACAGCTTCTACTCTTCCTGTTAGCTGCAGAGAAACGCGCTGAAAAACTTCTTCCTCGCCGTCGCCGGAGTGATTGTCGGATCGGATCCACCTCTTCTTCGCCGCCTCTTTTTTTCTGATCCGCTGCGATTAGAGAGGTGACAGAAACTCGCTGGTAAACCGCAATCTTTCTCCCCTTTTGCGCACGCTTCTGCCCGCCCTAAATCTGTTAAATAAGCGGCATGATACGATTTATTAATGCAAGGATTTACGGGGATTTACCACGAAACGGGCGAGAAACGGGATTTACGGGACTTTAGGATTTCACTTTGGCGTGAATACTTTTGGTAGGATTTACGCATAAATCCTCGCGGAGATTTAAATGTAAAGGATCATTTTATTCATATAAACTGTCGGAGATTAGGGTTTCAAGCATGTTCTACTTCCAATTCCCTCAACCCACCTACCCGCATTTGTCCGATTTTATTAGACATTGGTGATGAGCAGCTTTGGCTGCACGAGGATTTAGTAAATCCTGAAAAATCCGAATTTATCATTTACGGAGGCTATTAAATCCCAAAAATTGTTTGGTATGATAATTGATAAGTCTTGATAAATCCTAATAATTGTTTGGTTATGCATCTCAGCATTTGTCAGTTAACTTCAGGATGTATATTTGTGAGAACATCTCCAACCAAACGTCAAACATATGCGTGACGTCGTTCGGTTGCTCCGGCAGAACGCCAAATCTTCCGCTATTTGCATGCGGGTGAACAATGCGACCCCAATATTGGCGCTGCACTGTTCACCAACACGATTTATCTGTCTCAACTAGATTTGTCGAAAAAACGTGCTAAAGAGGAGAAAGATGGTTACTTTCGCAGAAGACCATAAAATGGAGTTCGATTGGATATGAATCACGACCTTTTTTATTTTCATTGCATTTTGGAGTGAAAAATGGGATATTCGGTTGGAGATGCGCTAACTATGCAGAATGAACTCATGAGAAACAAACAATAAGGAAAAAACAATAAAAAAAAAAAAAAGTACGTATCAAATATGTTTTTTGGCCTTTTCAAGCAATCATATGAAATCCTTCTGGACGCATAGAAATGAAAAAAAAGTTCATTATCCCATAGCTTCACGGAGCAATCCATGCGCAATGATATCACCTAATTAAAGAAAAAACGATTAAGTCTAATAAACAGAGATTCTCACATCCAAATATAAATAACAAACTAGCTTAAATTATTACGATAAAACAAGGATAGTTTGAACGAGTACATAGAATAATTAAAATGATAAACAAGCTTTAAAGTAGGTACAACATTGAAATACATATGATCTAAATATATATAGAAAATTGTTTCAATAATATGAGCGATTTGATATAACTAACAATTGAGAACAATCTGATTATGTTGGCTGCTGTCATTGACTTGTTGTCTACAACAACAACATCAAGCTTTTATCTCTCTATGTGGAGTCGGTTATATGAATTAATTTTCTCCATTGTGTTCTGTTTGTCATGACCCGGCCTGGAAACTAGAATTAATAATGCGGGAACGAACTGTCATACACTTAATACATTTTTTCACAATTACACATAACATTAGTGACTAATATTCCTCAAACACTGATGAGCCATTGACACTACTTATAAGTTGAGTATGCATTTAAGCATAAACATATTTTACCTGTTTTCTATAGATTTATTCCTCTCTTTCAGTCATTTTCACTTATCAGGAGACTTATTTGAAATTGTTAGTTTAATAGAGTGAGTTTACAAAATAAATTCAGTGGGTAATCATCATTAATAATAGTATTTAAACATTTATGAAATATAATGACACTTTATTTTTCTTATTTCTTATATAATATTAAAATACACATAGGAATTTTATGTTACATATCCTTATAATATTTAGTATACACATTTAGCATAGTTATGTATTTCATACATTTTTCTTTTACATTCTTTCATTTATATTGACATTTGTTCCTTTTTCTTTCAATTTGTACAAGAGCACCTTCAAAATGTATTAATTAAAGTACAATTATTTTCATTTTTATTTAACGTACACTGGTACTTTGCTTCTCCAGTTAGTACCCTACATGGGCGAACTCTTATAATTTGCATGCATATATCTTTTCCATTTCATTTATTTACATCTGTTTCATATATGTACATTTTTATTTACATCTGTTTCATATATGTACATTTTAAATTTCTTCTTTTTTTTCTTTCTATATATTTTCAATCCGCATATACATAATTCATATAATACACACGCATGAGCGCGCGCACGCGCGCACACACACACATATGTATATATATTTATATTATTCTTCAAACATTGAACAAAATATGTGATTGAAATTACTTACAAGGAAAATTTGTCGACACACAATCCTTCTTTCATTTTCAAGTTCTTTTCTTTCACCATTGCAACCAAGTTTATGTCAATTGAATTCTTCCTAACCACAATATTATTTTTCTTCTTAGATTAGAGAAATGAAAATATATAAACTTCTTATCTAAATTAACATATATAAATAAGCTAGATCACTTACTCCTTCGTCGTCAAAATAGAAGAATTTTAAATTTCCAAATTTGTTTTCTTTCTCTTCCTCTTTATTGCTTTCAACTTTTTCCAAAATTTGAAAGAAATTTCCTTAGCGACGTTCTTCTAATTTCCTTTTCTTTCTTCTCTCTCAAATTTCTTCCTCTTTCTCTTTAAAATTCCTTTCGCTGCACTCAAAAGAAATATTTATTCCTTCTCAAGCTTACATCACAGAAGAATATGCATAAAACTGACCACTTAACTTCTTCTTCCTCTCTGCACAGTCTTCTCTCGACACAGGGCTTCACACACGAGTTACTCGTAGAAAGAGCAAACAAAAGTTATGACTCACGAGGAGTCGTTACTTTTCATTCCCATTTATGAATATTTGCTCAAATTCTTGAATCGAACCCTCCAACTTTGGTCCGTGCTCGTGTTTGATCCGCTTGGCTGTGGTTTTGCCCGCTTCGCTTCTCTGGGTTGTCCGCTGAATCGAATAGAACAGGTTCAGTTGAACTGATTGTGAATTGGTGTTTACATTGTTAATAGTTAAAATTCTCATTTAAATTTAATAAAGAAATGTCATTTTTAATATTTTCTAATCAAGTTTTTTAGGTCTACCTCTTTCTTAACATAAGCCAAATTTAATACATATACTCTCCTAACTGGGTCATCGGGAGGCCGCCGTTTTATGTGACCAAATCATCTAAGGCGGCTCTCTCTAATCTTATCTTCCACTGGAGCTAATCCAAACTTTAAACATATATGCTCATTTCGTATTCAATCTCTAAGAGTAAAATATTATCATTCAGATCATCCTCATCTCTGCAACACTTAACTTAATATTATACTTCTCTTTTGCTGGTCAACATTCTGCGCCATAAAAATGACCTTTAATTAAAAAAACATGTTAGTGGATTATTGTTTGAAATTTAAATGAAATTTTATTTACTGATATAAAATTCTTACCCGAGCCTCTCACAAATCCGAGGCAATTGCATGTCTCTTTCCTTCCTTGAGTTCTTTTCCTTACAGTTGCATGTAGTTAGGATCTTCATCATTTACTTCTCCATACCGATTTGAGTATTATGTTGCATTTTAGTTTGCGATATATTGAAATATTTATATTGCCCTCTTGCCCAGTTAAAAGGAAATTATTAGATGTGAGTTAGCATTTGAACATTTCAAATTCCAAATTGTCTCTCTATTATGTTGTGTAACTAGGTGTGCTGATGATTAAATAACTCATGATTAGCTATGTATTGTCAAGAAGTGCCTTCACGATAATCATTTAGGTAATATCGGTAACCCTAGAAGGGAGTGATGAGTTTATCGGTGTTGACATATATGTAGTCAAACAAATAATATTTATCATGTGGTACTCTTAATAATCTCTCCTTTATATTCCATTGTGGGATGCACAAATCAACAACAAAACCCTCCCAATAAGTGACAACATAAACAAATTTGTTGACCTCTAAACACCATCCCAGCCCCATAGACGATCCACATTCACCAAACGACGCACTCGATCATTCCACAATCACAAGCAAAGCAACTGCAAGGGATATATACATTTAAACTCTCACAGACATAAGGCACGCTATCCTGCTCGATTCTCCTATACCACACGCGAGAGCCCAGCCCGACGCTTGATTGCACCTCCAGTCTCACAATTGATCCGACCCAGTTGTTCGCACCAGCAACCCGCCTCCGCTCCTACGCGACCAGATCCCGCATTCGCACGCAACCAAGCCCGTTACCTTCAATCTGATGCTCGATCCCAGCTGTAGCCCAACGCGACCCGCATGCACGTGTCACCTATGCTTGATCTGAGCCCAGCATGTTTGATCTCATCGCCCTATGCCTGCCGCAACTCAATCCAAATCTCCTGATCACCTCCAGCCTGTTTGACCTCCTTGGCCTGATCCGCCTACCCAACTGCTCTCCTTCCACAATCAAAGCCTAATTGGCCTCCAACCTGATTCCCAGCACACTCGACGACCCCTTTCGATGCCTGCACGAACCCTCGGCCCATCTTCCGCACACTTCTCCACTCATATCCGACTTAGACTGACCCACTCCGATCACCCAACCCTGATTTCTTGGGCTTGACTAGCCAACCGGCACTCAATCACTTAAAATGTATAAATATGCATAAATTAAATATATTTCTCTGTTTGCTTAAATGATAGGTATTTCAAGACCCCACGCCATTAATCTTTAATCTGGGTGGGAAGACTTCTAATCCGAAGACCCGCGCCATTGATTTTTGATCTAGGCAGGATGATTGTCAATTTGAAGACCTCGCGTCGTCGTATCTTAGATATGAGCGCGAAGACCAAAGGCAAGTGCCTCCCAATCTCCCATCACGGGGAGGGGACACCGGGAGGTTGTCGAAATGAAAACTGACAAAAGAACCCACATAGTTAAAAAAAAAAAAGTAAATTTAAAATAATAAATCCTATATAATGAATTAACGACAGTCACAAATTCCACAATAACCTGATATATGAGTCAAATAAGTATGAACATGATGGCATATAAATATTTCATAAGGATACAAACTGAGTAGTTAGTGGCACTGCTGCTTTCTTGAATTCCAGTGATAATTATAATTTATAGCAACAACTAGACAAAAGATTTGACATCCGACTCTGAATTGTATGCAAATTTAGAGTTTCACCACTCTCTTAGTTATTATGAGCTTTGTTTATTAAATGGGAACTATAGTTAAACTGCACTTTACAAAGATTTTCATACAATACTACCCTAATATTATGAAAGAAATGATCAAAGACTCCAATGACTCATACATGGAGGGAGATTTGATGCTAGCAACATTCTCTGTGCATATATTTGCAGTACCAACTTTAACTATGAGATTTGTAACCAAGGCTAGTAAATGAGCCAACATCTATGAAATAACTATTCGTTTGATGGAAGATTTTCACTATGTTTTGATTACCAAGGGATCTTGCTTATGTTGCTTGTGAAAGGCCAAGATCAATGAATAAATGATTATATTATATTAAGCCGACTTTCTACAAATGTGAACTAACTTCGAAGGCAATTGGTCATAGTACCGCAAAATGGAAGCCATTATATTATTATTGATGCTACAGAGCATTGATGATGTGTCAAATCGAACTCCATTACTTACTTGTACACTTATTAGTGGGTACGACAAAGAAGAAATTGTAGATAAGATTACTTTCTTCATTAGAGAAATTGAAAATAATAAATTGGTGTTGTTCTGGATACCCTTTCTTTAACAATGTAATCAATGCATATGGGCAAGTTAGAGATACAGAAGTAATGAATGAAATGTTCTTAATCATTAAGGAAAATAAATGTAAGTCTGATTATATCATCTTCACCATAATGATAAAATCATACAATAACATGAGTGTGAATACAGAGGCCCAAGAGTTGAAAAATAAGATGCTTAAATTGAAAAGTGAAATCATTAATGGAGTGATACCATAGAATTATAAATCCAGACATGAAAAGGGGGATATGAATAAAAGATAATTACTCTAAAAGGCCAATCGTAGAAAGAACCACACCATTGGATTCACAATATTTGTACAAACGGATAAAAGACGATATTTTTATAATAGTCCCAATCTATTACTGAGAACATATCCCGCAAGTGTTCCAACTATCATATTTGATAGGGGTGCAATTTTTGACCCGACCCGAAAAAATCCGGATTCGGATTGACCCGTTTAGCAAACAGGTCGGTTTCGGGTTCGGATTTTTGAACTATTTCAAAAACGGGTCGGGTTCAGGTTGACCCGAAAACCCGAAATCAACTTGACACTCACCCGAAAGTCGAGTCCATTCCAGTTTTGCCCGCACTCACGACGTCGTCAGATGCCGCGCTCGCGCGGTCCCACCCTCGCGCCGTCGCCTAATGCCGCACTCGCGTCGTCGCGCGGTCCCACGAACTGCTGGACTCCGTCCGCACTCGCGGCGTAGCACGGTCCTGTGTACTCCGTCCGCACACGTGATCTCGCAGACTGTCGGACTCCGTCCGAACTCGTGCCGTCGCGCGGTCATGCGGACTCTGTTCGCACGCTCGGTCCCGCGGACTCCGTTCGCTTTCGCGCTGTCGCGAGCTCAGGACTCCTCCCTCTGCAGCACCGGTCGGGTCGGGTTAACCTGGCAACCCGCCTGGGTTGGGTCCGGGTTGAAATGTCCGACCTGTTTGCAAAAATGGGTCGGGTTCGAGTTGACCCGTTTAGATTCGGGTTAACTCGGGTTCGACCCGAACCCGACCCGAATTGACATCCCTAATATTTGATTCTTAAATCCAACAATATAAGAATGCTGCGCGGGTTAAATATTCAAGTTTCATCCTCCTTGAAAAGACTGGAGTCAACCTGGCTTGGATTATAAGATGCCTCCTAAATTTCTACAAAATATATATTTTTTTCAAATGGCAATCATGTCATTTCGATGATGACTGTGTTGATAGAAAATCTTAATTGGAGGAGTTAATACTCAAATCCTATTAAAATTTCAAAATTCAAAATTGAATAAAAAAGTATGAATTCTTAAAATGAAATGTATCACCTAAAAACTTAAAATTAAAATCATCCACCTCCAGCAACGATTTATCGGGGGTGATAAATTTGAAATTAATCTCAACTCACAAAGAGCGAATGTCGTATTGGGTGTATCACTAAGATTCATCCTCAAATAGTTTCTTGCCAGCATGGACGTGGTACGTGCCCTCTAATTGAGTGCTTTTGCCGCAAAATTACACCACTATATTATGATCATGGACAAAGCCCGTATGTTCCATAATGGTTTTAAACCCTTGAGTAATTTATCATAGGGTATACTCGATAGGCATAAAACCCTTTTTGTCAGCTAAGGCGGATTCAAATGTATTCCCCTTAAACAAACACCACCCTAGATCTACAGGGGGGGGGGGAGGTAGGGGAGGGGAAACTGAGAGCCCGGATACTTATTGCCGCTGGCGGGAGTTGCTTTTGCCCTCATCTAGGGACTTCACCTCTTTCTAGAGCTCTCAACATTCAAGGGAACTAAAATGCAGAAATTTTCATTAATTATCATCATTTCATACAATAGTGAAGGGCCTTATATATAGGCTTCAAAACAACAAAAGATACAGACTAAAATGCCCTCTGGACTACAACACAAACTAATCCCTCAAAAGGGCACAATGATAAAAACTAAAACATAAAAAAATAATAATAATAATACATAAAATGCATCATAATTAAAGACTCCTAATCATAGCCGTTGATCTACGATTCCTCCGGTGATAGATGTGCTGGAATCTCCTGTTGATGTTCTCATCAGTAGTGCTCTTTGGTTGATTAGTATAGATTGAGTTCTCTTCATTAACTTGCAGGTACACGCTAGAACTTCCACGTTGCAAAGACTTCCCTCTGGGAAATCGCTTCATACCTGTTCCACAAGAAGTAAATTACATTAAGAATTAGGATGTACTGCCAACTTCGCCTCGCCCTATAAAGCTTTTTAAAATAGTATAGGAATTATACTTGAGTTTTTTTTTTTCACATTTCCTTCGTTGAAATTCATACCAGCTACCATGTAGTTAGAGGAGATTCGACGTTTCATGATCACACAGTTTAAAACCTCAAAGCATTGCCATGCTAATAATTTCCTATTTCAGTTGTTTGTCTCTGCCCAAGATAGCTGTTAAGTTTCCCATCTTCAGTTGAATTGCTAGTTCTTTGCGTAGCTTCTAAATTATTCATGTTCTACTTTCCCTAAATTTTAAAACTAGGTTAATCTTAAAATAGTTTCTGTAGGAGTTGCTATTGCATGACTTCAAGTCTAAATATAAATATAATCTTAAAACTGGATATTTAGAAGCTAAATAAAATATAGATGTTTGTGCTGAAGCCTATCATCTTAAGTAATGAAGAACAGTAAGGAATGTCTAGGTGACCAAACAAACTAATTGTGGCAGATTGAATATGTACAAAAAACAAGTAATTTTGTAGAAATGAAGTTATCATAATCTCAGTTGTTCAGAGTGAAAATGATTGCAGAGTTTGACAAAATGCGACATAATTATTTTTCCCAAACAAGCTTATAACTATTTCTACTATTTCAAGATGAGGAAGTGGACGATATGAAATAATACCATATGAAGTCAAACTTATGCATAGAAGAAAGTGCTTGCATAAAAAATCATGTGCTGTTAGTAATGGTAAGGTCCCAATAATCTTATAGTAAATCTGAATGCAGTCACTAACTAATCATCTAAATGAACATAAATGAAAATGAAAATGACAATGTAACAAATTTGGCAGTCGCTTAATTAAGGAAATGCATGATATTACCCTAAGAGGATATTATTAATAAAGGAGATTGGTTTTAAGAGTTAAATAAAATCCGAAAAAATAAAAAAAAAAAAAACTTAAAACAGACACCATCGCCGTCGCATTCGCGGCCCCGGCATATCTCTGCCTTTCCTCCTCGGCATCGGCACCTCTGTTGTCCTCCGCAACACCATCGCCGACGGCATTCGCGGCCCCGCTTTCCTTGTCTTCATGGGCGTCACTCTGTCCATCACCGCCTTCCCTGTACTTGCTTGAATCCTCGCCGAGCTCAAGCTTCTCACCACCGACATAGGCCGCATGGCCATGTCTGCCGCTGCTGTCAACGACGTTGCCGCCTGGATCCTCCTCGCTCTCGCCATTGCCCTTTCAGGCTCTCGATCGCCACTTGTATCCCTTTGGGTACTCGTCACCGCCGCTGCCTTTGTCGCCATTGCAGCCTTGGTTATTCGCCCTGTTCTGGCGCGGATGGCTCGTCGCTCACTGGAAGGGGAACCGGTTAAGGAAGTTTATATCTGCGCCACCCTCACCACCGTCCTCGTCGCTGGCTTCATTACAGACACCATTGGAATACATGCTCTGTTCGGGGCCTTTATGGTGGGGAATGTGATGCCAAAGGAAGGACCTTTCGCTGGTGTTCTTATCGAGAAAGTCGAAGACTTAATCTCCGGCCTCTTCCTGCCCCTCTACTTCGTCTCCAGCGGCCTCAAAACTAACGTCGCCACCAAAAGCAATGGAAAGTCCTGGGCGCTTCTTGTTCTAGTCATCTTCAACGCATGTCTGGGCAAGATCGGTGGCACAATCCTCGCTTCCCTCGTTGTGAAAATCCCCTTTCGCGAGGCCCTCACTCTCGGCTTCCTCATGAACACCAAGGTGCAGGACCCACAATTATTTTCTCCCCACTTAAGGAGTCGTGCCGTATGAGGGGGGATTCATGGTTCTTCTTTCTGTGCATATTGAAGATTCGCAAATGCAAGATCGAATATTGATGAATGTTTAATTAAAATATTGAATTCTGTTGATTGATTTTCCGCTTTGATCTGAAATTTTTATTTCTCTGGTTGGGAAATGTTGATCTGAGAAATTCATTTTCCATTAAAATGTAATTCGGATCCCCTTTCTTTTTTAATATGTATAACAGACGCCTTCCAGAGTTGCAAAGATTATAATGTATAAACGCCGTCCTATAATTATAAATTTCTCTATGAGAAAACGTGTGATGAAGCGCTTTCAAATCCATTTTATATCGTGCAGAGTACCGTTATTCAATATCTGCAATAGATTCAATTTAATTATTATTTCATGCTAAAAATAATTATGATATCTTATGCATAAATATAATATTTATATTATAATTTTTGTTTAAATATAATTTTTATGTCCTGAAATATTCACGGCGATAGAGAAATATAAAGTTTAACGTCTTAGCTATGTACGAAGTCTGATACACAATAAGATAAGAGAGAAGATGTAACATTCATAACAGACACCAAGATTTTTATGTGGAAAATCTTGAAGAGCAGAAAAACCACGGGGTCTAGCCCAGCTTGAATGAATGTACTATTATTTGCAGCAATGAGGTCCTTCCTTCGGAGAAGGCATTGACTTGATGTACATTATATGAAGTACATTACATGGTGGGAATATAAAGAATCACTGTTGACGTGTTTGTTTGATCGGAAGGACCCTAGACGGTGGGTGATGGAGGTCGGAAGGACCGTTGTCTGGTGACTGGGGTCAGAAGGACAGTAATCGAAGCACGATAGTGGTTAGAAAGACTGTTGTCGGAGGACGACGAAGGTCATGCAAAAGTCCAACATTAGTTGGTGGCTTGGCAAAAAAAAATGCTATCACTTGGTGGTCAGAAGTCAAACGTCAATTGGTAGCCAAGTAGAAGTATGACGTTAGTTGGTGGTCGGGCATAATTATGGAATCAGTTAGAAATCTGGCGATGGGTAAAAGTCCGGCGACGGGCAGAAGTTTGGCGACGAGCGGAAGTTCAGCATCAGGTAGAAATCCAACGATGGGCAGATGTCTGGTTAGAAATCCGGTGACGGACGGAAGTCCAGCGTCCTATAGAAGTCCGATGAAAGCCCGACGTCAGGTAGGAGTTCGGCGTCGGGTGGAAATCTGGAGTCGGGTAGAAGTCAAACGACGGTCGGCGAGCGGACAGAACTCTGGCGTTAGTCGGCTACCGGGTGAAATTTCGGCGGTGGTTGAGGAGTCTTTTCCTTCTCTTCATTTTCTTCTTGCTTCCTTTAATTCCGACGTCAGTTGACCATCCTGCAGAACTCCGACGTTGGTCAATTGTCGGGTGAAAGTCCAGCGGTGGTCAAGGAAGAGTCTCGTCCTTCTCTTCCTTTTAAATTAAAATTTTTATATAGTTTATGTTTATTTTGTTCAATTATAATATTTTAATTTTTCCTATGAATTTATTTTTTTATTTGTCTGCTCATTCTCCCATGAGAGGATTCCAATTCGCTTTTACGTAAATTTTAGAAAGGAGAATTTAATAAATTAAAATGGTGTATATTTTGAAGAGGAGATGATCACAATTTTTTATGCTAGTTAAAATATTGATACATAAATTATAATATATTTATTAAAAATATATTATTATTTTGTTCAAATATTTACTCATGATTTTTTTAGTATTCATGAA